TATATATTATGAAGAAGGGGAGGTAGTAATCATACAAAGAAGAAAAAGCTTTACAACTGTGATTTGAACGATGTCGCACTCTCTCTCCATCTCTTACACTATACCCCTCTTTTTTATCATAACGTCAAAGATTATTGTTATTCATGAAATATTAACATAGCTAACATTAGCTAGCAAAAAAATAATTGTTGCTTAAAAAATACTTTGTTACTCACATGCGTCGGGCCACTTGTGATGTGTGCTACCCTGAGTCGGGGAATTAAGTGTTGACTTACTGGGAATGAACAGCGTTAACGTTTGTTCATTCGGGAAATGAATTAATTTGTGTTCCACTTTTTAAATCTTTGATTGGGAGAATTCTGTCAGGTATTTTTAATCAAAAAGGCTCGAGTCCAGGTGAAGTCATGAGTCTTTTTTTTAAAGTCCAAGTCGAGCTGCAGGTCTTATTTGAGTTTGCTTAGTTGAGTCATTAAATTTGTGACTTGTGGCCACACCTCTGTTATACATTATAAATCCCCAGGGATGCTTTGTCAGAAGATGCAAACGAGAGAAATATTTCACCCCCCCAAAAAAAATTTCAGAAAGGGCCCCTGATGGCTGCTCATATTGGCACATTTTGCAGTGACAACTATAAACTCCCTGTTAAACCTCCCATAGAGGCGACATACAGTGCATCACCCCTGCCCCAACATCCCTGTGTGTGGGCCCTTGTAGCAGCTGTATGACAGCGGGATGCTGCTGGTTTGGACCGTCATATGTACAAAGTTAGGTGTAACCATTAGCACAATTCATCGGGGTCTTGATGGGCTTTTTTGCCCAGGGCCCCCCAGAGTCTAGAACCGGCACTGTGAAGCCCTCTGAGACAAACTAATCTGGTCTGTATAAATAAATTAAACTTGACTTGAGTAAAGAACTGAATAAATATTACTTATGGATTATTTTGTGGTGAAGTTGATGAAAACATGAAATCAAAGGACATTCAGGACATTTTTCAGTTTACTTTTAAAACTTCAGTAAAAATCTTTATTATCAGGAAATATTGATCAATGAGACAGTGAATCTAGGCAACAACTTCAATCACAGTAATAAATACATTACAAGGTATTCTGACATCTAATGTGGTGTGAAGGCTCATAAGACTGGCCTGTAAAGAACATTATGACTAAAGTAAAAGTACAAAGTAAAAATGTGCCTGTTGGAGCACCTGACGTTCAACAGGATGATCCCAATAAGCACTGATTCAGTGATTTGCAGCTCAAACATGTCTCGCCTTGGTTGTGTACAGGACGTCTGCTCCTGGTGGCTAACAACAATTATTGGGAAAGAGCACAGGTGAAACACAGGTGAAACCAAAAGCCCTCAAACTGTAGCCAATCCTGTTCAATCCCTTTTAGAAGAATCTAGAAAATTGACCATAGAGCCACTGCAGCAACCAAGAGTTCTTACAAAAGTCTTTCCAAATACAAAAACTTTGTTAAATTCATAAACACAACCAGCAAATGACCAGATCAGTGCGTACTGGGTGATCAATGACATCTCTGACCCCTAAACTGTAAACAGGGTTTAATAGCACCAATATTTTAAATTAATACAAAGACAGTGTGGCAGGAACTGAATCTTAAGCATAAAGGATGAGACTGGAAATATTCATTTTTCTTATTTTCAATAAATCCCAAAACAAACATTTTGTCGGTCTGTTACTGATGTCTTTAAAAAAAGCTTGTAAATATGGCCGCAAGATGCAGTTCTGGTGTTCAAGTAAGCACTGACTGCTAAATGTTGAACACTGCAAAGGATCAAGACCTTTGATAGTTTGTGACACCTGCGTCAAAAATAACTACATGGTTCAATGACGATTAGACAGTTGCTCACAAATGACCAAATATGTGTCAGGCCATGCTATTCTGCAGCAACGCTGTCGCCCTCTACTGGTCAATTGGGAAAACATGCTTCAATACATTCATTCATTCATTTTCTGTTACTGCTTATCCTCTTGAGGGACGCGGGGGGTGGGCGTTGGATTGCAACCATTCTCGGAACCCATCGGCTGTATTCGGCGTCTGACTTCCGGCAGATGGTGATACAGCCTCTGGGGGCAGACCCCCAATTTTTTGGCATTCCGGTTTGATTTGGGCGGAGGAGGCGAATTTCCGTTTCCAACTTTCGTTTATATATAAGTAAATATGATGAACCATTGCGATTGATTCAGAGTTTGCAGTGACACCAATTATGTTCCACCTCGTTAGTTCACCACACAGACCGTTTAACCTGGCAACAACTGCAGCCGGCTCAAACGTGATTGGTCAATATCACGTGGACTACAAACAGCCTACAACTGGAAATCAGGGCTCTTCTGCTCTTCTTCCAGAGGCAAGATCTCCGGGGTTTGCCTACAGACTCTACATTCACTGAATGTGGAGTCTGTATATAGAGACTAGATCCCAGCTGACATTGGGTGAGAGGCGGGGTTCACCCTGGTCAGGTCACCAGACTATCACAGGGCTGACACATAAACCCTTTTTAAACAGGAGTTGTGCAAATTTGCAGGAAAGCTCAATCAGTGTTTTTTCAGCATTGGCAGTATAAAAACAAAATGGGGGAGTGCAGCAAAATGCCGCCTACCTACTTTTGTTTATACAGAATGTGCCTTTTTCGGGGCAATGGGGGGCGTGAGCAAGTAACAAAACGTGTAGCTCAGCGTGTGTCGTAAACAGTGACGTGGGAGGGAAGCCGCGGCTGGTCAGTCCTTCAGCGATTCTCTCATAAGTCGGCCCGTTCTTCACCGTCCCCGTCATCTAACAGTTAATGGCCTCTTCGTTTGCGAGGACAAGGAGGGCGCGCAATTCCTTGTCTCCCCAGTTGCTCATCTTTACAGTGTCTGTCAGGTTTGTGTTTCCCTCTTGCTACTAGCTGCTCGCTAATTCCTGCTATCAGCTGTTTCCTGTTTATCCACCGCCAGTGGCTCGCACGTGCGGCGTCATCAACAGCTCCTCCCACAAGTCATCAACAGCTCCTCCCACAAGTCTTCAACAGCCCCTCCCGTGGTGGAAGGCTGCCTCGGTCTGTTTAAACTAAAAGGGTTCCACCAATATGTCTACCCTACGAGGCGGAAAATTGGGCACCTCGGATCAACTCGCCAATCCGGCTCTGTGTGTCTAAACGCTCGCAGCTTGTCGGCAAAGCGGCCCAACATTCGCCGAAAATCTGGCAGTGTAAAAGGGGCTATAGAGACAGACAACCATTCACACTCACGGACAATTTAGAGTCACCAATTAACCTGCATGTCTTTGGACTGTGGGAAGAAGCTGGAGCACCTGGAGGAAACCCACGCTGACACAGGGAGAACATGCAAACATGGCTCCCCCACCCCGAACCAGAAACCCTTTTGCTGCAAGGCGACAAAGCTAACCACTGCACCACCATGACGCCTTATTGAAAAATAGCGAGATATAGAGAGTTTAGTGATGTTTGGACAAACTGCTATTAATTTATGGCCAAATGTTACACTGGTGGCGCCACCTATTGAGCGATTTCAATATGATTTTACACACCTGGTTCAATGCTGTTATGAATCATATCCTGTGAGTTTTGTTATGATTGAAACAGTAGTATCTGGTTAAAATCTGATTTGTGTCATACCACGCCCATTTTTAGCATTTTCAGCACCCCCTAGTGTTCAAGTAGAATGAAACTTTTAGGGTATGTTTCAGGTACTTGTGTGAACATATCCTACAAGTTTGGTCCAGTGGTTGTGGAGTTAGGTCTGTTTACATGTCGTACTTGCATTTGGCCATGTTGTCGAGCTAGTTTGCTGTTTCTGTGAATAGCTGTACATTATTTACTTACTCTACAGCTGGCACTTCAAAATAAAAGCTTGTGCCAGAAATTTCACACTGACTTGACACACTCATGAGTCCCTTGCGGTCCATTCAGAATGGACCCATGACCCACTTTTAGACTGCCACCTATCAGTTAGGAACCACTGGTTATGACTGTTCAAACTTGACCTTTGATTATAGCGCCCTCATCAGGCTGATTGGGGTCATATTTCTTTGGCAGCATTTGCACACAACTTCCAGACGTTGGTGTGTCTACGGTGTACCATTTTACAAGAATTGTGAAATGATTTCTGAAGAAAAAAAAATCAGCACAAGCATTTCCTGCAACAGCTGGTCACTGTAGTTTTTATCAAACATTGCTCAAACAGGAGGAAAGCATGCATTTGTTTGGGACTATTGTCAGCGGTGGACTGATCCACATTTGGCCTTGATACACTCAAGTACTTGTTGGTAGAAACATTCATTGAAAGTTTTTTTGTGGGATTTGTTGACGGTAAAAAAAATATGGAACAGCACCAGACTCATCCTTTAAACATGTTTCATTATGATTTTTACACTCATGATTTACAAACTGCTCTCAGACAGTCAGGTCGTTAGTTGCCCAGTGAAAACAGAAGTTAAATGAGACGAGACAAATGATCTAAACATCACACAAGAGGACGATTCAGATCCACGTCCTCATGATGTAATAGAAGTGAGATGTCACTTCACGGTTGGACTGTGTTCGGTGAGGTAAGGTGTCTCGGAGAGGAGGGCAGAGGGTCAGTTCTTGCTGGTTATGAGGGTTTGGTACAGCGGCTTCACCACAATATGGAGGAAGAGGGAGCTGTCGATGAGGTACTCCGACGTCCGGCGGTACAGGTCGGCTTCGGCCAAGAAATCCCCGTTTTCCTCCGTGCTCTGGTGGAAGTTGTAGACATGTTTGACCACCACCTTCCCCTGCTGCTGAGCCATCACTATCACCGTCTTCTGGAAGTTCACCCCGGCAAAATCTGCACTGGATGTGGCCGGTGTGATGATGATGCGAGGGCGCCCTCCCTCCACACGTGTCGGCTGCATGGCGCCTGTCTCCGTGTACATCGGCCTCATGCTAAGGGGTAACCAGCGCGGTGAGAACAGGGCGTTCCAAGTCACACGTTTGCTGGAGTCGTGTCCGCTGGGCCCCAGCTGGGTCTGGAAGCTGGTGCTGCGGTCGTCACGCGAGGGGTTGCTGATGATCCATGGCGACCCCCACACTGGCGACAGGTAGTTCCTGGGCATGAAGAGGCTGCAGTTCACGTCAAAGTATTTGGCCATGTGCAGCGGCGATGCAGAATGAAACTGGTAGGACATGTACAGCAGGTCACGCACCGACTCCTGATAGCGAGCCAGAACCGATGACTGGGTCTGCAGGCGGAAGAGCTCCCGTGGTGGCATCATGGCATAACGCACTGCTCTCAAGGCGTTCTCCGCTGTCAGACCGTCGGGCTCATTCTGAATAATCCAGGCCTCCAGCGCTGCAAAGAGCTCCATCTCACTCTGCAGGATGAGGTCCGAGCGCTGCAGCAGGGACATGAGCAGCTGGCTGCTGATGGTCACCCACTCCCCGCTCTGCAGCACCGACGACAGATTCCACGCCATAAACTGAAGACAGCTGTCCCTCAGAGTCACGTCCCCGGCCTGCAGGGCGTACTCGTACCAGCCCGCCACGTGGCCTGAGGTGGATTCCTGGGCCAGATTCTGGGTCATGTACTGGGTGATGCCCTGCTGGAGACCCATCACTTGGTACTTAGTGGCCAGCTTGTGTAAAGGTGTGGCCTGATCCAGGCGCAGAGAAATCTCTCCACAGTACAGATACCTGCTCAGAGACAGGAAGGAGAGGGTTAACGTCGGAGCATCTGAAGCACAACGTGTACCTTTTGAAATGACTTGTGTAGAATGAAACGTACGTACAAAATGTGACCATATAGGCTAAAGGATGTTCCAAAAATATTTTACCCACATCCAGATGTTTTATTCCAGGCTGTTCTCATGCACTGCTCATATGTACACTCACAAAAATTAACTAGCCAAATTTGTATAACCCACATAATCGGTAAGGCTGCAATCACGTTACGATCATGTCACCTATGTAACTTTACGATATACGATAAGTATGTAATGTGACAATACCATTTTTTAGATATCATACGAACTGTCGTATGAGGATACGTTGACCATTCTAATGCTGCAATAACTTGCTTTGGCCACTTGGGGGCATAAGACGCCACAACAAGCTGAAAACTAACCTAAGAACCAGACAAATCTGCAAGATCATATTTTACTGAGTGTGTTCATTTGTATGAAATTTGCTCAGTGATGCATGAAGCCAAAAATGTTTGACTTCTGTGGCATAAAATTACATCTTCTGCACCGAGCTAACTGTCAGCTATTATCAGATATTTTTCTGGTTTTGTTGTTAATGTGCTAACTGGCATACGAGCATCTTGAATCCATCTTTACGATCTTCCAATTTACCTTTTTTAATGACAAATACTGCTGCCTGCTGGTATAGACAGTTATTTCCTCTCACTCAGGTGCAGAGCAACGTGCTAGGTGGCCGTTGGCTGTAGTCTTTGTGGCATGTTCAAATGCAACTTTTTGGCTGAGACACAGGCAACTTGAGGTGACGCAACAGTTAGACTTTGTCACCTCAAGTTCCTCGATGTCTGTTTGATGTTCTGGGCTAAAGATTGTAAAACCAGTGGAGGTAGCGACCATCACCCATTAGTTTGTGGACTCCTGTTTTGATTCAGATTCAGATTGCCTTGTTAATCCCAAATGAGCAATACATTTCTGCAGACTGTTAAATGTTGCTGTTGTCCCTGGCTTCATATGAGTAGAGGAAATGTCCGCTAGCTGCTAGGCTAATTTATACAATGTAAAATGCCATAGACTTGTGCTAATAACGTTAGCATGTTGTATTTGTGGGGAAAATGTGTCCAGATAAAGACAAGTGTTTGTCTGTGAATGCTGCGAGTTATAGTGAAGCTGATTTGTGTTTGAAACTGTCTCTATTAAGCCATGTTTAATGTGTGTTTAATGTGTGTTTAACGTGTGTTACAGCACTTCACAGGAACTCCTCCACCACCACCTAGTGTTTTGGAGGTGTAACTGCTGAGTGACAGCACAAATATAAATGCTCACAACAGTGTAGGCTATATGTGTAGGCTGTAAGTGTAAATCTGCCTCAACCCTTATCCTTCCAAGATGGCCGACTCGCTGTTGATGTCGACACATTCCCTTGTCTCTGTGAGTTCTGATGATCCTTTTGAAATTATTCATTTGATTCATTGTTAAAATGAAAACAGCAGTAAGTGCAGCTTTAAAGAGTTAAGTTAGACTGAATTAATTCTTCTTCTGAAATAATCTCAAAGCAGCTTCTCACAAAAAGTCACTGTTAAAAAACACTTTTATTTTGGCGCTGTGTGAAAACATCCAGATTAGAACAGGAACAAGGAGACTGTCCGTCTGGCAGATGGCAGGTTTACTGTAGTTCAGCTTTTGATCAACCTCATTAGCATCTGAGATAAAAATAGATTAAGTTATTGATTGCTGTTGCAGCTCACTGATTGGTCAGTTTGTTTTATGTTGGACTCATTGATTGTGTGTCAGATGTGGGGCTGCAGTTTCAGAGCTCATCCCTCTAGAGGGCGTGATAACTCAATCAAAGTGGGTGAAGCAGAGGGTGGAAGTGACTCATGGAGTGAGGGAGATGGAAACGTGTCCTCACCTGATGAACTTGTCAAACACAGCGGCACAGTCTGAGCTCTCCTTCAGGACCAGCATGCTGCTGTTGCGGCTCAGCAGGATCTCCTCGAACACGGGGCTCTGCAGGGAGAGCACCAGAGAGTGGGCCTGGATCACCTTCACCTCGTCTGCGCTGGGCGTCTCCACCCTGAGCGACACGTCACTGCCGTTCCCCTGGATCAGCAGGGCCTCCAGACGCTGCACCAGGGTCAGGGAGTGGCTGATGGTGTCCCCGCCGCCGCCACTCCCATCCTGGACCATGTCAACCTTCAGCATGCCTGGTGGGGGGGAGGAGGAGGAGGAGGGAGGAGACGCAGAGTTATAAGAAAAGAAAATGTAAAAACCAAACACTTTGAAGGCAGGATGAAAAAGTGAACTTTCTTAGAGAGTGCACGGAAGTTGCATGTCAGTTGTTTACTGGGGCAGATAGTGGGGCAGTCACATCCAATTCCAGGCCATTGATCAGTCCAGCTGCACTCGCTGTCTGGATAATGAAGGATTGTGGGTCACGTTTAATTAAAGCTTTGTCTCAGTTGAGGCAGTTGTAGCACGCCCCTCCTCCTCCACCTCCCCTGCAGACTGCTGTTACTGTAACTGACGGGATCTGAGCCTTGATTCATGTACGCAAAGAGTGCTTACTCTTTCTGATTCTTCATAAATATTTGGCACTTCCTTTCCCCCGATTTAAAAACGGAACAAAACGAGAGCTCAGCTGTGGGCCATGATGTTCCCTTTAAACCACAGGCTGGACTAAAGACAGCTTGTGGTGCAGCTTGATCACGCAGCAGGAGGTACTCAGGTGTAAGAAGCTGGTCAGAGATCTTACTGTTTGGTGGAGAAAAAAGTTTCCACCAATGTCCAGAGCCCAGGGGAGGGGAGATATGTCAGGGTTGTTTCACCCAATAAATAAATAAAAAGTCTAAATATTTGGAGATTTTCATACGAAATACTTGTAGAAAACAGTTGCAAATGGAGCATCTGTCAGCTTTAATGCATCAAAATAAGACATAGATAGGTCACTGGTTTCAACAATAAGCACATTATTAGGAACTGTGCAACAATTATTCAGGTCAGGAGCATGGGCATAGCTCTTTTCCTATGGTGTACCCCAAATATTTGGGGGGGGGGGGGGGGGGGGGGGGGGGGGGGCATATTAAGCTCCTCCCTTAATGTGCATTAAACACATATCCTGCATTCTGGGAAATTTTTCTGCATCAATTCATGATGGAAGTGTCATGGCACTGTCTGCTGCTTTACATCTCGTTATGATTAAGCGGAGCTGTGGCACAAAAAACACTTGGTCATGCTTAGGAAAACATAACAACATATTTTGGCTTAAATGACATGATTTTGGTGCCGCAATCGCTTCTGAAAATGACACTGATGTCTCATTAAAAACAGACAGTTCTGTTGTTTGTTGGTCTCAAACTAAGGCCTGTGGTGCTCTGCAGCTTGGCAGGTGTCTCGCCTGAGTGTCACGCCATCCACCATCTCCTTCACCTCCTGATGACACAGTCAGCTCATATGTACAAATGTAATGTATCTGTTTACAGAAATGAACAATGCCAAGAAACAAATATTTTCTCCTCAGGAAAAAATAAGGAGTGCTGCACTGGGTTAAGGCACAGTGATAATTGTAAAATGTCAGGTGCTCTTCAAGAACAGGCGAATAGTCACATTGAAAGTCCATGATACAGGCAGGCAGTCCGAAAATGCATCTGAGGCTCTCTGACTGTAGTTAAAATGCTTTATTAATACATGGAAAAACCAACGCGTTTCAACCAATAGGTCTTCATCAGGGTGTAAAATGGATTGGAAACAGGTGTGCAATTTAAGAATGCATATAGAGGTCATGTGACACAGGTCACATGATGTATTGGTTTAACCCAATTAGAAAAAAATACACATTGAAAGAATCTGTGAGTGAAAGTTAGGTAAATATATCCTATGTATAATCCTCACATCTAGTACCAAAAAAGAAAGAAAGAAAACAACAGAGAAATAAAGTAAGAGTTGTTCTACACTGTGACAAACCTGCACTTTGCTAAATGTTAAAATCTTAATGAAACATTTTCTCCTGGTGACCGAGCTGCTCAACTGTGCATAGCTGCTGCATCTTCTGTTTGTCTAATAGTGATCGCAACTAGGGCCCGACCGATTTATCAGCCGACCGATTTATCGACTAGCCGATTGACCGATTGACGCCGATGTTAACACTTATATTTTCATCACTAATAAAATGCAGGGAATATGGTGTTTTACTTAGAAATGATGTTCTTGTGTTACCTTTTGCACTATAACCTGCCTCTGTTAAACTGGCAATAATAATAAGAACTGTGGTACTGTGAACATACATGTGAATGTCTTAATTCATACAGACTTTGCATGATTGGAGGTTTACTGCCTTTTTGCACATCATATTTTTGATTTATTTTGTGTTCAGATTGTTCATATGCTGCTTGTTCCACACAATTTCTGATAATAAAAGTATTTGAAAATAGTAAAATGTTCTTCCTTCAGTATATATCTTTGTAACAAGTGTTTGAACTATATTTAAGCCATCAAAAGCAGGTATTTCAGGGTTTTTTAAATTGAAAAACGTAAAAATTTAATCGGCCGATATATCGATTATCAGATTTTTTTATTCCATAATATCGGAATCGGCATCGGCCCCAAAAAATCCATATCGGTCGGGCCCTAATTGCAACCATTGTTTTGGAGGTTGCACATTTTTGCTATGCACTTTAGTGAAGCATTCTTGCATCTCTGAATCACATTCTAGCAGTTCATCAAAATAAAAGTCACTAATACTTTAATGTTTTTGTCACCGAGAATGAATGCACATGTCCTAAATATTGAGGGAGAGGTGATGATCTCCAATGATCAGAAGAGATATTGAATGCTTCACTGTTTTTTAAACTCCCTCTCTCCAACATGTCATAATAATTCAACAGCAAGATAGATAGATAGATAGATAGATAGATAGATAGATAGATAGATAGATATAGATAGATAGATAGATAGATTCACATAAGCTTATCACATCATTCTCACAACTACTTACACATTCATTTCTATATTTTTAAGATATATGACAAATACTAATGTGTATATATTTGTAGATATATTATTGTAATGTTAATAAAGCCCTTGTGCCACATTAAAAGTTAATGCAGAGGGTACAAAACGAAAAAATTGTTAATTTTTCAGCCACTCTCTCTTTTCAAAACTTACATTTTGGTTCTGTTAGTTATTGATATAATATGTCATTCACTGCGTATGTCAAAGCTCACCTTGATGTGTGATGTAACTATTAGATATATTACGTGGTACGCTGAATAATTTTCATACTGTCTCTTATTGTATTCCTTTAGTACAGTGGTTCTTAAACTTTTTTAAAATAACTTACCCCTTTTGATTTCAATTCAATTTTATTTATAAAGCTCAATATCACAAATCACAATTTGCCTTTAGAGGGCTTTACAGCATACGACATCCCTCTGTCCTTGGACCGTCACAGCGGAGAAGGAAAAACTTCCCAGAAAAACCCTTTAAGTACCCAAGTACCCCCAGACCAGCACAAAACATCTTTTAAAAACACAAGAGGGAAGATACAGCGTGGCACAATCAGGATCTGAATTTCTAAAAAAAAACAAACAAAAAACAAACAACAACACTGAAATGTACTTTCAAATGTTTAGGATCAGAAAGCAAAACTAATATTTTGTCATCATGCAAAGGCACTGTTGCATTGAGCTGTGTCTTTCTGGGAAGCGGCACTGACAATTTAGTGTTTTAGGAATTATGCATGACTGATATTATTTAAATTAACATTTAACAAACTTGCAGTACTCCAAGGCGTCCCTCAGGGAACACGCACCACAATTTTAGAAACACTGATCTAAAGGACAGAAGTTCTTCGGGTGGACCGAGCCTTTAAATGCACCACGAAGGAACAAGATTCATTTTCATGAAAATAAATAATTACTATTATTAGTTTGAAAGCCTCATCAAACACTCATTTACAGTGTTGCCTGTGGCCCACACACCCACAATCATCAAACACACCAGACTCAGTAAATTCTTTGTGCTGCAGCTTGATAAAATGAAACATAACTGGATCACAAGTTATTCAACATCCTGTTTAATGGTGTTTGAGTCTTTATGTGTGAGCGTGCAGCTGCAGAGGAACCAAACTTACCTGCAGCAGCTGCCCCTGAGTGCACACACACAGCCAAAAACAGCATCCCAGCATAGATCTCCACTTGGTTCACCATCGTCTCCCTCCGTCCCTCCGTCCGTCCTCACTGCTGTACGTCTGGGTCTCTGTCCACTCTGCTGTGGAGGACGAGGGGGTCTGTGTCTGAATGTGGGACAGGGTTCTCCTCGCAACATCCGGCCCACCACACACACACACACACACACACACACACACACACACACACATACACACAGAACCTCATCGATTGCTGGGTGGAAACAGGCCTGGGTTGTTTCCATGGCTACCACTTTGATTCAGACTTTCCTATCCTTGGGTATTAACGCCTGCTGCATGACATTGATCCAACGAGGAGGCCGCGGGGACTCTCAGACAGCTGTGGACTGAGACACAGCTGTGACATTCAGGGTGTGAGGAGTTACAACACTGTGGTTTGACCTGACTGGAGGTCTGCAGGTGAGAATGGATCTGCTGCTATGAATGGAGAAATATGAGAGCTTGATAATGAACTACTGCTGTGAAGAAGTGAGGCAGGAGTCACACCACACAGTTATGTGTGTCAGTGTGTTCACCCAATTCAGCACATGTGCGTGACACAGCAACACAAGCAATTTATTCACAGCCTCAGGCGACAGCACGCTTCATTAGGAGGGAGTAAGTTATACGATCAATATCCCTCGCTGATTGATCCTGACTGAAACTGTCATCAGTTTTTGGAAAATATTTAAAATCACAAACCAAAAACTGCAAAACTCAAGTTATTTTTTCCTACAAGAAAATCAGTGAGACTGACTCTGCATCTGATACCTGTGCAGCTTATGTTTGAGATCTGGTTTTGTGGTGTCACGTCGGAGTTGTTGACCCTGATCTGTGTCAGAGTCGATGGTGATCCACCAGGATGAGTTCTGTACCAGTCTGGCTCTAGATAGAAAGCATCTCTGTGTGTCTGGATGTTAGCCAACATGTCAGTCATTCAATCAATGTGCATATAGAAAAATTTGCCCTTTTAATTTTTCTTGAGAAAGCTTAATTAAAAGTTTAATTTAGCTTGAAAAAACTCAAATATTACATTTCTAACCACATTTTGGGGACATGATCGGCTGGGTAAATGTTGGCATCGTAAGTACATCAAACTTGCCTGTTATTATGCAGCATAATATCAAACTAAACATTTCAACACCACTGTGGTTTACATGTGGTTCGATTTAGGCACAAACACAACTTATTATGGTTAGGAAAAGATCATTTTTGGGTTTAAAATACCCAGTTTTGGGGGCCTCTCTTCCTGCAATCTTGATATCTTACCCCCCAAATTCTTTTTAGAGGTCCTTCCTGTCATTGGCCCTGCTGCACTCACTATTACAAACACGTCCCTCACCTCTGGTTCTGTCCCTGATCAGTTTAAGACAGCCAATGTCCAGCCACTCCTAAAAAAACCCTGGCCCTGATCCAGCCGTTTTGAACAGTTTCAGACCCATCTCAAAATTACCTTTCATTTCCAAAATACTGGAAAAACTGGTTGCTCAGCAGCTTCTCCAAGTTGTTGAAGGACATAATATCTTAGATAAATTTCAATCTGGTTTTTGTCAAAACCACAGTACTGAAACTGCTCTGTTATGAGTCATGAATGACATCCTTATGCAGGCTGATAAAGGGTAACTCTCCATCTTGGTCTTACTGGACTTGAGTGCTGCTTTTGATATCATTGATCACTCCATCCTCATCAACCAACTAAATACATATGTTGGTATCTCAGGGAAAGCCGGACAATGGTTCATGTCATATTTGTCAAATAGACGTTTTTGTGTCTCCATAGGTAACTATGTGTCCTCGTCTACTCTGATGTTATATGGGGTGCCCCAGGGCTCAATCCTTGGTCCCATTCTTTTCTCATTGTATATGCTTCCCTTGGGCCAGATAATCAGTCGTTATGGCTGTATATCCTATCATTACTATGCGGATGACACTCAGCTATATTTTTCAATAAAGCCAGATGATCTTAGCAACCTAAACACTCTCCACAACTGTTTAGCTGCAATGAAGGACTGGATGTCTGTCAACTTTCTTCAGCTAAATTCTGACAAAACAGATTCTCATTTTTGGCCCCGAAAATACTGCTAAAGGCATCTTTCAGCATATTGGCCCACTTGCCCCCTATGTCAAAACTAACGCTGGGAATCTTGGTGTTATATATGACCCTTAATTCAAACTTGAACAACGTGTCAATAAAATGGTTCAATCCTGCTTTTTTTCAACTCAGGAGCATTGCAAAAATGTTGTCTGTATGTGTTCTTGAATGTGTCTTTTATGGTCTTGGGGTCCTCTTTTCTTTGTGTCCCAATGTCAATGTAAAGCACTTTGTAACCTGCATTAAAAAAGGTGCTATATAAATAAAGTGTTACTTACTTACTTACACAATCTCTGCTGGAAAAGCAGCAATGTCTCAACCACCTTTCATGGCACCATTCCCACAGGAGCACCATGAAACATCCACATATGGTTCCTATAAGGTTGCTTAAAAACTGTAAAGGGTCACTGCAAAATACCCACGTTTTTGCCTTAAAGGCTGCTGGAGAAGCAGCTATGGGATGCTACAAAACACCCACGTTTGGTGTCTAACAACTGATGTAAAATCAGTGATAGGTCACTACAACACACTCACGTTTGATGCGTTCATGGCTGCAAGAAAAACAGCGATGGGTCACCACAAAACTGCTGGAAATGTAGTGATGGGTCACGAAGAAATCACTCGTTTGATGTTTTAAAAGCTGCCAGAAAAACAATGATGGGTCACTACAAAACATTATTGTTTGGTGCCTTAAAAAGCTGCTGGAAAAACAGTGAAAGTTCGCTACAAACACCCACATTTGGTGCGTCAAAAAGCTAGTGGAAATGCAGTGATGGGTCACCACAAAACACCCATATTTGGTGCCCAAAAAAAACAGCTGGAAACAGAGTGATGGGTCTGGTGCCTTAAAAATCCGCTAGAAAAACAGTGAAGGGTCACTACAAAATGTCCACTTTTGCTGTCTAAACAGCTGCTGGATAAACAGTAAAGATTTGAAAAAACACCCATGTTTGGTGCCTAAAAAAACGCTACAAACGCGGCAGAGGATCACACAAAACACCTGTTTCTGCTGCCTTCAAAAGCAGCTGGAAAAACAGTGATGGGTTGCGACAAAACACTCACGTTTGATGTCTTAAAAGCTGCTGATAAAACTGCAATGACTCAATAAATCAGAAGCGGTTTTGTTGTTTGTTGGTCTTGAACAGTGGTTTGCAGCTTGGCAGGCATCTCACCTCGGTGTCACATCATCCATCATCACCTCCACCTTCCGATGACAAAGTCAGCTCATGTACTGTGTCTGTTGACATGATACGTATGACACATGTAACATATCTGTGGTTTGCAGAAATGTACAACACCAACATTTTCTTCTGACAACTGGGCTGATTTGGGGAAGGAACAGTTATTTCGTGCTGCTGGTTTGAACTTCTGACCTTTACTTCCTTTTAGAGTCAGTTTACCCATATTGCAAAAAAAGCACACTCGTATGTCACCTTCTAGTTATCACAGCTTTGGTTTTATGGATTCAGGTTTGCAGATATTTGTCTCTGAGATTTCTGTCTCCTCTCCAAACACTAAGGTCAGAGGTGAACGGGAATCGATCTGTGGTGCTCACAGGATTGGAAAATGACACTACATGACTGTGAGAATTTCAGGTATCTAAAAAACTGGAGCATAAAACCAAAACTATCTGCCTGACCAGACACCACATGAGATTAGTTGTATAAATATATGTTGTTTTTTCTAATTTGGGTAAACCTACCCTTAAATTTTGTGGCACAGCAATGCAACATCCACACATGTGTTTAACCACCTCAAGTCTCTGCACCATGTGCACCAGCCACAGTGACCAGAGAGGCTGCAGCCAAAGCTTTAATGTTCATAACCATCTGCTTTTAAAATGCCACTCCTTGTATTTACACATCATGTCCACCAGAGGGCAGACTGACTACGTCTCAGCAGCAGCCAGTATCTGATATGAATACGAATCACATCTGCCTCACCACAGACACACATGTAAAAACACTGACTCAAAAATAATAATTAAAAAAACCAGATGACACAAGATGACAGGATGTGGAAAAATGAAGAGAAAAGAAAAATAAATAAAAGGAAATCTGGAGAAAAAGAAAAATTGGCAAGTGTAGTGAGTGAAAGTGGAGTCGGTTGGAGTAGAACTGGGTGTTCTAATTATATCTAGAGAATTAATTTTATTAGGACAAACCCATTGAGATGAGGTCCAAAACAAACATTTACAAAACAAATGGGACACAGAGCAGTACAAGACAAAGTGTTACATGAAACAAAAATGACAAAACTAAACTAACTGAAAGAAAGAAGATGGAGAAAAAGAAACAAAAAGTACAATCTCAGACTAGTCATTATAAAAATGATAAAATCAATGATCAGTCTCTAAAGAGAGGGAAGAACAGTGATGTCACTACTGACGTCATTGGTGATCAGTTAAATGAGTAAAAAGATGACATAGGAAGGAGCTCATCGGCCTCATCACAGACACAAACTAATGATTTTCTCCCTTTTGAATCACAAGGATGAGACAGAAAGACGCTTATTTACTCTCACACTTATTTATTTATTCATTATCAATTTATTTATTCATTATCAATTAATTAAATCAACAATAAAATATAACAGCTGAGGTGACAGTAAGAGACAAAAAATAAACACATAAAAATACACATAAAGCATTCAAAGAGCAAAGACTCAGGTTGTGTTCACACCGGGTGTGAATAAAACAATTCAGGCGTCTAAAGTCGACGTAAAGACGCGATTATATGCAAATTCCTGCCAAGTGGTGCGATGGACGTGACGCAAATGATGAGAATGTTGCAAATAAAGCGCAGCAAATACAGAGAGTAGCGAGATTTCCCGTCATGATTGGACCTTCAGCAAACAATTCGCGCCGCAACTGCACTGAGTAACCAAGGACATATCGGTGGAAGTTCATTCATCGAATCAGCGATTTTACGCACGTATGATGCGAGTTATTTGAGCATATGAAACGAGTCAACACGAGTAACTCAACGAGAAAATTTGCATTGCGTTTGGT